CAGGGGAGTTGGTCTGCTAGAGAGTACAGCTTGCTTTACATCTGTACTTTCTACTCTTTCCAGCCTCCTCCTGAAGCCTGGTAGAGGCTACTCTTTCCAGCCACGTCTGAAGCCTGGTAGAGGCTACACTCATCCTGAAATAAGCGAAGTCTTAGCTAAAACTCCTTCAAGACAGAAAAATGTGAAGTGCCCAAAGTCCCACCGGCCTGCTGAGGCCCTCCTAAGCCGCAGGACCGTACTTGTGGGCGACTAAATATTTACCTAGTTTGCAACAGGTCGATAATTCGCTTAATGACCTGACAACGGGGCTTCAGGTGGGAGTTAGGGACTGAGGGGGTCGCTACCGTCTGAGGGTAGAAGACTAATCTGTAAGCAGATGTTTTGGTGGCTCCCAGACACTATCAAAAAATGTTGTCAAGACAGTATCATTGGCCAGGCAGTATCCAATAAGCATTTGTTTGGCTGGCAAAAAAAATAAGATACCAGTTCAAAAATGAAGCCGGTTAAAACTCCTAAATACACGTCCAAAATAAGCCGAAGCTTAAACCTTATTTAACAGCTTGTTTAGTAGTAGAAGACTATCATCATAATAGAAATAGTAGAAGACTATACCGATAGTAGATAGTAGTAAAAGACTACAATACTGGAGAAAACATAGCCCAACATTTCTTTTCAAGCAAACTAACTCCCCTGGTATGTTATCCAAGATATTCACAGAAGCAACTTTTTATCATACATACCAGATTTAAGACGTTTTAGAATGGGCTATTAAACGATTCATTTTGAGGAAAAAATATGTCAACAGTGAAAAACATAAGACAGAATATCTACGTCCATGTAACAGAGATAGATCGTCTGTTGTACTATGACCCTGTTATTCTTTGGATCCAAAGTTATTCAATACCACCACCCACTTCGAAAATCGCGCCGGAGTTACCCTACCCTCCAGCCAACAACAATACGCACTGTTTGCGAGGTAAAAACACACCGAAACGCGACACTCAAAAACACATCAACCAAAGATCGCTGTACCAGGCTTAGCCAGTCTCAGTGTCAAACTGTTCTAGTCTCCACCAAACTAACAACGTGGGTTTAAAAAAATACTGTAGAATTTAACCAAATAGGGAGAAAAACTGGCCAGGGGAGTTAAGCTATCGTATAGTTCGTTTGGACGGGGATATTATTT